TGTCCCATCTCTGCACAGCACCAGCCTCACCCTCAGAGGCTCCCCCAACTGAGGACTCCCCAGCTGAGGACCACGAACATGAACATCAACAACCGGAGGCCCCCCCGGTACGAGCGGTGCTGGGGGAGCTGAGGGTCTCCAGTGTCACCCCCAGCTCCGTGGGGCTGCAGTGGAGCGTCCCCGAGGGTCCCTTTGACTCCTTCACGCTGCAGTACCGGGATGCCCAAGGCCAGCCCCAGGCCCTACCCATCGATGGCGGGTCCCGCTCGGTGACAGTACCGGGGCTGTCCCCGTCCCACCGGTACCGCTTCCACCTCTACGGCCTGCGGGGCGGGAAGAGAATCAACCACGTCTCCACTGAGGCTGTCACAGGTGAGGGGAAAGTGAGAGAGATGGATTGATCAAGTGATGGAGAGATCATGGGATCCCATCCCCATCTCATCCCCACCCATTTTCATGCACCCACTGACCTCTATACTATCCTATCAACCGTTGTTCCTTCCACCAACCTACTAACCAACACCTGCCATCATCCACAATCATCTTCATCATTCCTCATCATCATAATCATCATCAACCATCATCATCATCATTCACCTTCCATCATCATCATCATCATCCATCCATGATGGATCAAGAACCAACTGGCTGAACTGATTCCGCATTGGATGATGGGCGGGTTCCTGCCCAGATGGACGAAAGAAATTTAATGGATGGATGAGTGGTTGGATAGATGTGGGGCGGCCGGGATGGATGAAGGGTTCCTTGTGACCGTATGAATGTCCTTATGCATGGAAGATTGTCCATGGAAAATGGGGATAATGGAGATGGAGGTCTGAGAGGAATGTGGGCAGAAATAGCCAGAAATATGGATGTGGGATTAGGTGGGGAGTTGGGTTGCAGGCTGGGTGCTAGACTGGATGCATGGATGGATGGTTATTTTTGAATGGAGGAAGACATGGCCGAATGGATGATGAATGATGGATAGTTGGATAAATGATGGATGGACACATTCATGGACACATGGATGGCCACACCCATTACCATCCTCTCTGTCACAACCACAGCTGAGCAAGAGGAGCTGCTCCTGCCCTCAGAGGAGCCCCGACCTGAGCACCCCCAAACTGAGCCTCCCCCATCTGAGGCCCTACCGGCACGAGCGGTGCTGGGGGAGCTGAGGGTCTCCAGTGTCACCCCCAGCTCCGTGGGGCTGCAGTGGAGCGTCCCCGAGGGTCCCTTTGACTCCTTCANGTCACCCCCAGCTCCGTGGGGCTGCAGTGGAGCGTCCCCGAGGGTCCCTTTGACTCCTTCATGCTGCAGTACCGGGATGCCCAGGGCCAGCCCCAGGCCCTGCCCATCGATGGCGGGTCCCGCTCGGTGACGGTGCCGGGGCTCTCCCCGTCCCGCCGTTACCGCTTCCACCTCTACGGGCTGCGGGACAGGAAGAGGATCGACCACGTCTCCACTGAGGCTTTCACAGGTGAGGGGGAAGGTCAGAGGATTTAGGGTGAATGGATGGATGGAGGGATGGATGTGTGTAGTGTTTATGAGAGGGATGGAGAGTGGGACGAAGGCTTGGAGAGATTAAAGATGGATGAAGAATTGGATGGAGGGATGAAGGGGGTGATGGTTGAGGGTGATGATGGGTGAATGATGGTTCAATGAATCTCCAGATGATGGGTGAATGGGTGGTAGGATAAAGAGAAGGGGTGGTCAGAAATACAAGAGGAAGGACAGATTTATGGAGCAGTGGAAAGAGATGTGGGATCGAGCAATGGATGTATCATGGATGGAAGTTCTGATGGATGAATGGATGGATGGACGGATGGAAGCAGGGATAGATGGGTGGGTTGTCAGGTGACTAATTGGACATTTAATGACTTAATATATGTTTGGACCCTAAGTAGATCCTGGGGTTCATGGATCCATTGGCTGGTGTGAGGGAAACTGATCATGGAGAGGGGATGTAGGGAGGGAAATAAGATGGACAGAGAACAGATGGGGGCTCCTGGATTGGATGAGTTGATGGGTGGAATGGGGCTTTCCGGATTGGTCAGTGGGTGGCCGGATGGATGGGTGATTGATGGATGGATGGATGGATGGGATGAACAGAATAACAAGAGGCAGAAAGGATGGATGGAACAGTGGAAGAAGGGGAGGGATGGAGTGATGTGTGCTTGGAGAATGGAGAGATGGGTGGGTGGGTGGATGGGGGTCTCCAGGGTGAGACGCATGAAATGGATGGGTCAATGGATGGATGGGTGGACATGTTTTTGGATGGGTGCAGGTTGGGATGAGTCTGTGGCTGGTTTGTACCCTGGATGAGTGAGGCAGGGGGGTGAGAGTGGAAGGACAAGACACGGGGGCTGCCTGTGGCCGTACAGATGATGGATGGAAACAAAGGTCAGGCAGGTGGTGGATCTCCACATCTTGCCTTGTCCCATCTCTGCACCGCACCAGCCTTGCCCTCGGAGGCTCCTCCAACTGAGGACTCCCCAGCTGAGGACCACGAACACCAACAAACTGAGGACTCCCCAGCGCGGGCGGTGCTGGGGGAGCTGAGGGTCTCCAGTGTCACCCCCAGCTCCGTGGGGCTGCAGTGGAGCGTCTCCAAGGGTCCCTTTGACTCCTTCACACTGCAGTACCGGGATGCCCAAGGCCAGCCCCAGGCCCTGCCCATCGATGGCGGGTCCCGCTCGGTGACGGTGCCAGGGCTGTCCCCGTCCCACCGGTACCACTTCCACCTCTACGGCCTGCGGGGCAGGAAGAGGATCGACCACGTCTCCACTGAGGCTTTCACAGGTGAGGAGGAAGGTCAGACAGTTGAGGGTG